GCCCGCTCGCCCGCCGCTCTCCACATAGTCGACCTCAGCACTACCTTCTGCATGCAGATCCCCACTCTCATCGACGCTCTCTCCACATCCCACCCGCCGCCGCCCCTTCTCCGTCTCACCGCGGCCGACGCCTCTCGATTCGTGACCCCAACGACGCTCGACCTTTCGCACGACGAGCTCGGAGCACGACTCGTCAGGTTCGCGCGGTCGAGAAACGTGCCCATGGAGTTCACTTCCGTCCGAACAAACCCATCGGACGGATTCTCGTCCCTAATCGAGCACCTTCGGTTGCGGCGACAACATTCGGCCGAGAATAATAACGACGAGGCGCTCGTGATCAACTGTCACATGATGCTACACTACGCGCCCGACGAAACCCTAGCCGAGAGCGGCGGGATTTCGTGCCGAACGGCGTTTTTGAACGAGATTCGGAGGTTGAACCCGAGGCTAGTGGTGGTGGTGGACGAGGACGCGGATTTCACGTCGAGTGATTTGGTGAGTCGGTTGAGGTCGGCGTACGATTACTTATGGATGCCTTATGACGCGGTGGACACGTTGTTGCCGGAGGGGAGCGAGCAGAGGGAGTGGTACGAGGCGGAGGTTTGCCGGAAAATCGAGGACGTGGTGGCGCGGGAGGGGGGGAGGAGGGTGGAGAGAGTGGAGAGAAAGGGGAGGTGGGCGCGGAGAATGAGGGCGGCGGGTTTCGTGGATGTGGGGTTCGGGGAGGAGGCGGTGGCGGAGGTGAAAGGGATGCTGGAGGAGCACGCGGCCGGGTGGGGGCTCAAGAGGGAAGAGGAGGGTCATCTGGTGCTGACGTGGAAGGGGCACAATGCGGTTTTTGCTACTGTTTGGGTGCCTGCTTAGTTAGCGGTTTTGAGTTATGTCTTAGCTTCTGTTAGCATGAGGTCAGTAGCTAGCTAGTTTTGTACAATGATTGAGTTCAGCGTCTCCTTCCCTATCTCTCTATCATTAACTTTCTTGATAAGGTGTCCAAATGGTGTGCGTAGAATCAATCTGTTTTTTTTTTGTTGTTCTCTGCGTGACTTAATTCGAAGAGAAAATAGGTACTTTGACCCACACTCTCGAGACAAACTGTTAAATTTAAAGCTCAAATATCTATTGAATATGTGCACAGCCTTTAAAAACTAATCCAACATCTCAATTAGTAAAAGTTTTCAATTAGGCCTTTCTAGAAAACACGGTCAAAGGCGGCAAGATGAAAAGAATGAAAAATCTAGAATCTAATATGCCTTGATCAATTTAACTATTGTCTGCCAGGTGATTGTTATGAATTCATCTAGTAATTAATTGATTTTTTTTAATTATAATTAATTTTGAATAAAGTTGGTATAGTTAGTTGTTAGTAGATATATTAAAATAATATTTAAAATAAAATAATTAAAGTTGATACGATGTAAAAGTAAGAGAAAAATGATTGGAAGTGGTGGTTTGTTAAAATTATGTGAGAGGATGAACAGTGAATTAAAATTGATGTGATGTGTAAGAATGATTGGTTGATATTATTTAATTATATTATAATATTGAAAATACTGGATTTGTGTTAAAGTTGAGTTAAATTTGAGTTTTGATTAGTTTTTTTTAAAGTGAATTGATAAACAATCACTCCTAAGAATTCCCCTATACACATTTTTACTTGCAGCTTTAGTAAACACAATAGTAGTATAGTAATCTCCCATCATATCTACACTATTTTACAAATATTTCAGATACCAAAAGTGGTATCAGAGCCCGGTTCAATCAATTATTGGGAGAAACTATTTTCATATATTTTGTCCTAATACCTTTCTAAACTCCAACAATGGTTACTTCTCAAAATAGCTATCAAATACCAATTCCTATTTTCTCCAGCGAACAATAACCATTGATTCATTAAAATGGGGATATATTTTATGTCTTGATGTAACACTCAGAATAGCTTCAAATAGACCGGTCTAAGCAGGTAGCTCGACTAAGCTGAGCTTGAAGAGCTCTAGTATATTCGTGGATATGTTGTTCGGTCAAGTAGCTTGTATACAGACTTAAGGACCAACTGGCCTAAAGTAATACGACCTGGGGGCCTCGACCTCGAGGAGCCCACAATACAGCTGATCTCGAGGTGTCGAGCTCGTGTGGTTCGAGGACAGGTCAGACCTCAGGAGGAGGTCTGGTTAGACTCAGGACGAATTTAGGTTAGACCTCGGATAGGTCGCAGCAGATAGGTCAGGAGGTTAGAAGTGTGACCTATGTACTTATGGGCTGAAAAAGAAAAGGAGAAAGAATCCTAGTAAAAAGAAAGAATCGCTTGCTATAAAATGACTCTTGCCTAGAGAGAGACGCGGTAAGTTAGGAAGTAGGATTCAATTGGGTCTCTTCCAGAACAATCTACCATATATAAGGGTGACATGTTCTTCTTCATTGGATATCGCATTCTACGCATTTTTACTTACATAATTCATCTATACAATTATTGGGCGAGTTCTGACTTGAGCGTCGCAGGTTTTTCACTAGGACCCCCTTCCGGCGTATGGCCGGTCATCAGAGCTCAAGGAAGAAAGTCATTCGAGGCATAGACATTCAACCCCTTTCGTGACCAAAAGTGACGTAACAAATTGGTGTCATATGTGGTAACGAGTAATTTTTTACCACATATAAGGGATTTATTGTATTCTCACAGTCCGATCATTCAGAAGCCAATCCATAAAACAAATAGGAAGCCATAAGTAAAGAAATACGAGAAAAAGTATCAAAAGGGAAAGTGATTCAAGTAATAACAGAAGACTCCCCAGAGCGGGTTATCCACAGTAATCGGCGTGAAGAGGTAGCAGGAGTCGAAAAAGAGCAGCTTAAGCCGCTTTAAGTTTTGGGACTGAAGATGTTACAGGTGTTTCGGCCTCGCATAATGATGCTCTTGTCATCACTGCAGAAATCGAACGTTATGTGCAAAGAATTATAGTAGGTACCAGCAGTTCAGTTGACGTTACGTTTCTCCATTGCTTGGAGCAGATGGTCTTAAAGGGAAAGGTTGAGCTGATTGATACAACCCTCTACGATTTTAGTGGAGGTGAAGTCAAGTCAGTTGGCGAGTTGTACTGTTAGTCGTACTAGGGCAGTTGCCTTTGAAAGCAAGAAGATTGATCAGATTCCTGGTGGTCAAGCATCAATATCAACCTACTGCATGAAGGTGAAATTACCTGTTGGGAATCAAGTCAGTGAGGTTTTAGGGGATCAGTGACAGACCAGGAGGTGTTATCAAGGAAGCATCAATATGAACCGCAACGTACAATGTCTTTGTGTTTGAGTGCAGGTAAAGTATGGCAAGGCAAGGCGATGATGACTTCTATAAACCCCAATCTTTTTAACTAGTTTTGGGCCAAGTGGAGAGTATTATTATTATTATTTTTTTTTTTGCCAAAATAACCTTTGTGAATGGCCCAAGAAAACACCTTCACGAGCCCAGTCCACCGACCCATCTCCTTAATAGTAATTAGAGGCCCTTTGTACAATTTCCTATTATTTTTATGGCTAAAAGACATAAATAACTTCCTATTAAGAATTATTTCCTTAAATGTAACTGATTTGAAAGAATTCCATAATTACTCCATTCATTCCAGAACAATACTGTTAGAGTAGGGTACCCGGCGTTCCAATCTAATTGGACGTATTCTACTTGTAAATACAGTCTATTGGAATTATATTATGAATAAGGCATTTCTTTATCTTAAGAGAAAGCATTTATCTTATAATTGCACTTAAGATAAAATCCCTAGATCACTTATGGTTATAAGGTATGGTTGCGCATAGAGATGGTGATCATGGAACATACCTTGAAA